CCCTATCACACATTTTGTTTTGATAATGTCATTTTGATAATGTCAAAATAGTTCTTCAGTCTCAAAATGTTTTAATGTAATGCTAATTAAAAGTGTAAAACCAAGTCAAAATAATTCTGTTTCAGTTCAAATAGTTTTGAAGTTATTCTGTCAAAAATGTAATTGAAGTTGATGCCCTCCTGTAAATGGTCCTGATATCAGCAAAAGAGTCTTTTTGGACAGAAAAACTATTCCATCAAAATGTTTCAGTCAACTCCACTCCCAAGTTGTGGGGTGCAGTCCATTCTGGATCTGCACCCCTAGATCCCAGATCCCATTCAGATAAGGAGTAGAACATATAGTGGCTTGCAATACACAGTATAATCAGTTTTATTGTCTCAAAAATTACCCTTACCCTCCTCCCTCTCCCTCCCCCCATGGAAAACTGGCCCCATTGAAGTCAGTGGCAAAATTTCCACTGACTTCAATAAGGCCAAGATTAATAGCTAAAAGTACAGGTGCTATTAGAGAAAGATCTGTGCAATTTGTCTATGACTACAGCATTAATCATGCTGTTACGTGAAAAATCTAAATGTTTTATGAAGACATACATTAGAAAACTAAACGGACTCTGATGTCAAGTTGTGCAATTTCTCTGTCTGTTGGGTAACTCTCAATGTGCTTTCCTCTAACCTAGTTTGTGCCACAAAATAATATACTAATTCAAACAGAACAAATGCTGGCAGGATTTTTTTTTAAAAAGTTCATTTTCCAGTGTGATTCCAGTTCACACTACTTGCATTTTTACACAAACCATTTATAATTTTGGAAAATATTCTGTGCCATAACATTGTTCTTTAAAGCTTCTGTTGCAATTTCCATAAGCGTAATTACACCTACTGCTTAGGACAGACCACATCAACTGCAGGTGGGGAAGCTAAATGTAGCCCCTTTTTGTATTTATTGTAGATCTTAGCAAAGAGAATTGTATAGAATTTTTTGGCCCTTCCTTTTAATAATAGGACTGCCAGAATGACTAGAATCTGAAAACTCACAGCTCATTACCAAGAACAAAATGCTGATCCTAGCAGAGCCAAAAGATTTTAACAGAACTTCACAGAAGAGATCTAGCAGACTGTTGTAGAATGTGCAAAGCAGTTCCCAGCCCCTTGCCCCTTTCTCCCATATTTGACTATACCAAGTGTGTGATGAACCTGGGAATTTCATACCCAGCTGTCCTGAAAATGATCAGGACATTTTAAGATATTCATAATATAAGGTGTGACTGGGATTGCAATCTAAGATGTTCACACTACAGCTGTGACTCTGTGCATTACACTGTCAGCAGCAGGAGTACAGAATCGGTGGTGTGGCTCCCTCAGCCCTTAATGTGTGGCTAACATCAGTGACAACAGTTTTAAATTGTGAGAGCCTCTTTAAAAAGCAAGAAGGAAAAAGAAAATGGAAGCCAGTATCTCCAGCAACTGTCAGACTTGCAGAGATTTTTTTCCTTCCTCCACCAACTCCCAGCTTCCCATTCTATGGACTCAAATCAACCACATTTCTAACCATTCTTTAAAGATAGTAATGAAAAGTCTAATCCAGTGAGGCGTTGAGTGTCATCAGTTACAACCAAGTCCAGAATTATGCCATTTGATGTCAAGTGAAATTGAGGGGCCTCAGCACCTCACAGGATTTGTTCCAAATGTAGTGATGTGTTTACTATACAATTTACCGAGGACTTGTCTTAACGTACGGCACAACAGCAGTGCAGCTGCACCACTGTAGGGCTTTAGTGAAGCTGCTACTCTGCTAACCAGCGAGCGTCTTCTGTCAGCGTAGTTAGTCCACCTCCTCGAGAGGCAGTAGCTATGTTGACAGGAGAAGCTCTCCCGTTGACACAGCGCTGTCTATACAGGGGTTGATCAGTATAACTACATTTTTCACACCCCTGAGCAATGTAGTGATACCGATAAAAGTCTGTAGTGTAGACCTGGTCTTAGAGGAAGATGCTCCTTTCACTTTGGGCTTGTATACATGGCGATGCTCAGAAAAGTTAATGCAAATTAACATTTAAAGTGGATTTGTTAAACTGCTTTAACTCTGGGTGGATGCTTTTAGGCTGCATCTACACTAGCACTTATGTTAGCAAAACTTTTGTCACTCAGAGGTGTGGGAACCCCCCCCCTCCCCCGAGCAACATAAGTTTTGCTGGCCTAAGTGCTCAGGTGCCCAGTGCTATGACAATAGGAGAGCTTAACGTGGCTACCTGAACAATCTAAAGATAGCAGTGTGGCTACAGCACCATGGGCTAGTCGCTGGAGTACAAACCTATCCAAGACCACTTTAGCTCATGCCATCCACTTGCGCTGCTTCAGCTGCACTTTAAAAAAAAAATTGTGCTAGCGCAATCAAAGCTACCTGAGCTGGACATTACACCTCCAACGGCACTGGAGGCTTGCCCTTAGATTACTGAAGCCATGCATTTTCAGGGTGTGTCACTGCATGTCCACCTACAGCAGTCTGGCTGGAATGGTTCAGCAGCTGGGCAGATAGGTGTGCCTCCACTACGGAAGTAAATGATAGAGCCTACGGCGAGCAAACATGTAACAATTTTAGGGACACTTAACCATGTGCATAACTCATTAAGTATTTCCAGCATTGGAGCCTGTCACAGGGTACTCTCACCACTAGTGCTCCTCTTCACAGATGCCCTGGGGATTAACTCCCTCCAAGTCCGACGGCCCCTTCCATTGCTCATTCGCATGCCCCGCAGCCTCTTTCTGCAATCAGGGATGCTCTCTCTTCATAGCTTTCACCTCTGGCCAGGTCCAACCCCCGTTTCCAACGTCTCTCCATTCAAAACGGCAGTTTTCCCTTCAGTGCCCAAATGGTGCCACTTCCCCAGTGGCTGGTAGGGGAATCCAGGCCCATCCTCTATGCCGGGTTCCAGCTCAGTGACCCTCTAATCAGCAGCCAAGGTCTGCAATATCCTACCATACCTCACCTCTCTCAGGCTTTCACTCCATCAGCCTCCTAGATAAACCCCTCCTTCAGGGCTTGGATCCCCTGAGGTTTCTACTCTCCCCCTGAGTGGGTTGATTTCCTTCTCTAACATCCAGAGAGCAGCTATAGACTCCCTCACTGCAATGCCCTTCTGCTGCCAACTTCCTGGCTTTATGCTAGCCCCACCTGTTTCTTCTCAGCTGGGCTCCATCTTCAATCAGACTTCCAAGCCCTGGCTCTCCCCCAGATACAGCCTATCAGGTTAATTAACCTATTTTAACCTCCTCTTCCATGTGTGGGGTGGACACCCCATCACAGGGCCATAAAAATAATTGGTCTGTTACATTCACTGAGGCTCCCATTTTAACAACTGCTATCATTGCTAATGATAATACTTTATTTTCTTACACTAATAACCAATGTTAGTGATGGAAAGTGAATTGCATTAACCTGACAAAGCAGAATAATAAAATAATAATATTGCCATTTCTTTCAAAATCTACTCATTTGGTAATGTAATTGGCCGAGGGAAGCAAGGTCTAACACTCAACTCGACGGCATTTCTCTGTCTGTCTGAAATATGATAATTGACTACACATCAAAGAATTGTGTGATGGCAACCTTCCAGCATAACAATATCCCCATCTCAGCTCTGCCCTTCCTTCCAATATAGTGTAAAATGTTGGCACCCTGAATGACTTAGCTCCCAGACAGAAATAAAAGAAACAAGAATGGGGCCGGAGGACACGCAAAGGAACCCCTGGCAGAGGGAGAAGTGCGAGGCACACACAACATCTGGCATTGAGGGAATATGGGGGGAGGAACAATGGAATTAGGGAGGGGAAAATGAGGGACACACAGCTCCTGTCATGTACTGGAGGAAGGAGGGTGGGGGGACACAGAGCCCCAGGCCTTGCTGGGAAGGGGGGCATGAGAGAGAGGGGGAATGAGGGGGACAAACATAGCCCTGGCATGGGGGAGGTTATATGTGGGGTTGGCAGGGAGTCCCTGAAATAGAGGGGGATGGGAGGGGGCACCCACGGAGCTCATGGTGGGGAATGGAGGGATGCAAGGAACACCTGGTGTGTGCAATGTGCTCGGTCTACGGAAGTGGCAAAGTGTGCGATCGTGTTGTCTAATCTGATGTTGGTTGTTTACGTTGCATTCTGGGAATAACAGAGCTTGTCTGGCCAAAAATCTGAACCTCACTTTTGATTTGCTCAGTGTTTGTGTCTTCCTTTGTGTTGCATATGACTGAGAAAGGTACAGAAGATTGTGATAAACTTCATTTCCATTCCAGTCTGTAGTTGAGGAATGCTATATAACCAAAGTTTGTTGCATTGGTTGTATATGAACAGTGCATAATAATACACTTGCTTTTTAATGTTATCCTTACTCTTCCAGCTGTATTCAATGTCCTGATATAGCATTTTACAGTGAAATAAGGATGGTTTTAAAGTACAGGACTAGGATTCAAGGACCATGGCTTCTAATTCTTTCTCTTTCACAGATTTCCTGAATAAAACACTCTGAATCTGATTCTTAAAATATTCTCAACAGGCCTTTATTTTCTGCCCATAATTTTTCAGGTTTAATTCATGGCATTTAGATATCTAGGTAGCTGTTTGTTGGGACCAATTAACTACATAGCCATTTAAATTCTGTGAAATGAGTCTGTAGTTAACTGCACAAAATTAGTCAATGCATTTGAGGCCCTTTATCACCTGTGCCACAATTCTTTAACTATAAAATGAAGATAAAACTGACCTAAGACACAGATGTTGTATCATTTAATTCAGGAGTGTTTATAAAGTACTGAGAGATTCTTGGAGGGAAGGCAAATTATTATATTGTTAAACATGATGCAGCTAGTAAAGTTTGTTGCACTCAAATGCCAAAATCATGGATATATGCAAATCAAGTATGTGAGGTTACAGTTCTTCTGGAATCCATTCCCATGATAATTTCACGCAATTGAAATGAACCAGAAATTAAAGAGACCGGGACAGACAAACTTCTGAACAAACAAAAACTTGATTTTATTGAACGTCTTGGGATAAATCGGACTTTAAATGTACTCTCAAAAACAAACAAATTTGCAGGCAGTTATTTATTAATTTAGCATAATGTGATTAATAAAATTAAAAAGCTGCTCTGGGCAGGATCATACCACAGTTATGTTTAGACTTACTTTGCTGGTCATGGCCGGATATTTAAATGGTTGCTTTGCTTAGAACTAGAAAGGCTCAAGAGTCCCTGGAGCGCTGTAATGCTGCTCACCAGGGAAGGCAGTAGGTTGTATAGTTATCTCCTGATTGGGGCAAAATCACTACCCTGAAACCACACAACCTACTACCTCACCCTGCTAGAGCATAAGTAAGTTCTTTTGAAGAAGGTTAGCAATTCAGTGGGCTTTGCATCCACAATCCCCAAGTAGAAATCTCTTGTGCTCTAATAGTCCATATATCCTTTCTTTGTTACCTATAGAAAGAATAGCACACTTGCGAACTTTGCTATCAGTCCTTCCTGACAGTCCCGGTGCAAACTGGTGGAATGACTCAGTAGAAATAAGAGTTTCAGTCAGCAAGGACTCTTCCTCTCAGTGTAATGTTTGTAACAAGAAAGTAAGATAAATCAGCAATCAACGAACAGAAAACCTCAATAATGCTAGCATCATCGCTCCCGAGGTGGAACTCAATTTCCCAAAGTGTATGCTCTCTGCTTTGGGTCCATTTCTGCCCTGCACCTTAAACTGCCACTGCCACTTGTGCAAAGTGGGTGCAAACTGCCACCACGCTCCAATGGTAACATTTTATGCGCACTTTTGCACTGGATGTAAACGACTGCACATGGTGCAGGGCAATGGAGAATCAGGCCATCTGTCTTCCAAGTGGCTACTCTGACGGCCTTTCCCCTGAGCACATATGCTAGGGGAAGGGATGCAGAGCTGGAGTTAACCCACTGTTCACTGGAGATCATACATTACCTCTGCACCCTGTCATACATACTCCCAGTGACTCACTGAAAATAGTGAAAATTCAATTGGTTTTTAATATAAATTACAGACATTGGAGCACTGTATGAGTGCTAGTCTAATAGCAGTAAGAGTTCAACGGCAGATTCTTACTAAATCCTCTGATGCTGGGGATGGCAGTACAATCCAGTAAATGGCTGTGAGATGCATACCAGGGAAACCCAACTTTCAGTATTAAGGGGCTAATATGTTAAAATATCCAATTAAAATGTCCTTTCTAAAACGGAATCCTCTTATTAGATCACAAAAGAGAACATTCTTTATACAAGATACTCTGGTAACTGTGACTCAATGGCCGGTTGCTCTTCTGATACCACGAAGTTTGCAACCTTCGGCCTCCATCCTGCAGTGAGCTCCATACAGGTGCAGGTTCTGCCCATGTGGAGCTCATTCCAATATCAAACTCTAGTAAGCAAACGCTACTAGCTAAAGTAAAAGTATTTTCATATTTTGCAATCTGACGAACTTTAACAATAATTTCAGTGTGTTCAATGTTGGGGAAAGGTGCTGAAGTGACATTCATAGAAACGAACATCCCTATTTATCTCTAGATAGGTATCATACAGGCAATGGTAGTTCAAACTCCCATAACCATCCAGACAATGTGCTTCAACCATAGCCCTATGAGACCTATTATATCCAGGGTTTCAATACTTCAGTCTCCAAAGGTTAAAACTTAATATGATTAATTCCACAAATTTATTGCTAATAGACAAGTAGAATGTCCTACAATCCCTACCATAGCTGTAAAAAGAGCCTGACATCAATAATCTATAATATGCTTAAACTGATGAGAGAAATTCGAATACAGAATTCCAGTACTTGTTAAAGTACCTCATGAAAAACTTCTAAGGCATAGACTAACTAAAGCTAGTTTTTGTATTCTATTTGAATCCAGCTGCAAAACTGCAAATGAGTGGAAGAAGCCAGGGACCATCCCACTTAGAGTATTTTTGTTTTATGTTTTGAAGACACATCCAGCGTTGATATTACAGCCACTTCAGGAAAGACAGTAGATTGTATAGTTATCTGACAGGCAGGGTATAACCCTAAAACTATACAACCTACTACCTCACCCCAAAGGACAGTCAGACTGATCAGCTGAAACTTCAGTAGTCTTCCCAGATAGTTGAACTGCATGTTGATGACCTAGAAGACAAAAAATTCTAGAGAAAAATATTAATGGTTTGGAATTTGAAATAGAATTTCTATCTATTAGTCATTTTGCTTAACTAGATGCAGTGTGATGTCTGAAACACATTTAATGGACATGCAACCCTTAAAGTGATGTCAGAGGCATGAGGAAACAGGATACAGCATTCATTGTTAATAAATGCCACTTTTGTATGTCCAGGTCTGACACAACTACAAAACCAATTTTTCCACTTTCAAAAGGCATCATCACTAATACCTAGAATGCTGATGCTGGTTTAGTGAGCTTGTTTTATAATGCACCTTGATAATCCTTACCAATCTTAATAGGCAACAGATGAATTTCCCTAATTTACTTTCACAAGTACTGAATGGATAAATCCATAAGACTGAACCAAGAATTTGTCAAGGCTATTAGGAAATTTTATGGCTCACTTAAACAAATACGCTACCCTCCAAAGGATAGTAACACGCTCTGAATCAATGGCCAAACTAAACATTCCCCCTGTATTACATATGCTTTGGTTACTGTGACTAGGATAATTGCCACCGTAGTATAATTTATTCCTAATCTCACACCTATGCTAGAGTTTGAGGCAGCTGTTAATTCCCTCCACCATCTGGCCTTACTGAACACAACACCTCTCATTCAGTAAAACCTGGGAGTGGTAGAAATAACTGCGATATCAGTCCGAATTCTAGTATAAACACTGCCTTAATAAATAACCAAACCTTTTAAAAATCTATCCTAATTTAATTACTTTTAATGTCTCCAAGGTAATTTTTATTAGACAATAAATTAAGGAAAACAATAGACCATCAGAGAAACCCAATCAGAGAAACCCAAAAGTGTATTTCAATATAAACCTGGTCTCACCCCATAGGCACTCATCCACACTAGGTTTTCTTGGGGATAAGCAAACGGGTCTTCTGCTTCCAGCATAATCAATATTGGGACCTAAAAAAACCCCCAAACACATACACATCAACTTCACTCCACTGCATATTGAAAGGAGTAAGAGGAGAAAGAGCACAAAGAAAGACAGAAATCTCATAACAATAAAGGTACATCTTCTCATGGAGAATCATGCATAGCAATCACTCCCTCACCCAATATTATGCCAATGATAGCTCAAGGGACAGCCCCACTTTAAAAGAGATAGACAAGAGCCAAAGTGCAGTGCAAAAAAGGTGTACTTTTTTTTCAGGTGTACTTCAATAATGACCGCACCACATCTGAAGTCAGAGGAACATTGTCTGGGCTTTATGGCGGGCTGCGGGAAGGTCAGAAACTGCTGCAAAAGGTGAGTGGTGGTCAGCTTTGCAGCACTGACTCACTCCCTGGGAATGTGAGGTCAGAAGGCTATAAAGGAGCAAGCCCTGGGTGTTGGAAGCTCTTTCTCCAAGCAGCAGGCAAGGAAGCACCCACCCTCCCTCCCCTAGAGGTGGCAAATATCGGGTTGGGTTAAGACCTGCTGTGGGCACTGTGCTAATCGCTCCTTTTTAGGGGGGCTGGTGGAAGTGAGTTTTTTTCATCTTCCCCACAGCGGGTGTCAGGGAGGACCTTTTTCTGGTAAGAAGAAAAGGTGGTAGGCTAGATGTCGCAACTTATTTTGTAAGGGTGGGGCAGATGTCCAGTGCAGGTCCAACAGGGAAGGCATCCAGTGACCAGATAAATGGCCTGGTAAATGACTTAAAAGGAGGTGCAGGATAAAGGAACAGAACAATTGTGGGGGTTTGGGACTCCTATGATTGGTACAGCAGGGAGCCAACTCCCCCTGTTCTTAACCCTCCTATGAGGGGGGTGGATGATAAGGTCCAAGCCATGGGTTGGCTGGAGGACCTAGATGGAAAATGAAGGGGGGCTGGTGGAAGCCCCGAGTAATGATTTGAATAAACATGGATTTGCCTGCCCTGTACACTTTATCTGCTGGTTAGTCCCAGACATCTATATAATAAAGTTGCGGCCTGCTTAAAATCCATATCAAGTGTATCCTGTCCTTCTTTCGGTATAGCCGGACAATAAATAGGTGATTTGTAACATAGCACTGCAGGGACAACCTGAGTCATCAGCTACATCACCTTCAAGAGACAAACACACTTTCTAAAGAGCCACAGAAAGGAAACAAAATGCAGATTTCTAACCAAATCAGACAATGTGTTGATCTGTAAAAGCCAATGTTATGTCATCAACTTTAAAGACTATTTCACTGTCGGAGACTGACACCATATATGAAAAAAGGCAGCTGAATACAATGAGTTGCACACTGTGCATATTTGTTGCATGAAGTGCTGACGATGCAATTCTCCATATTCTGACAATTGGACGGGAGGAGCTATTTTATAACCACAGAGTTCACATATTGTACTAAATACACAAATATTTAATGTTTTGTTATTCTTTTAGATAATTAAAGAGATTGCTATAATATTAATATTGTAACTGACCAGAAAAAGGAAATTAAATAACACTTGACATGTACACTATATAGAAGCAGTAGCATTATATATTTCAGTGTTGTATTACTGTAGATTTGTGTACAGTGGTGGCAGAGGATGCATTGAAACCAAGTGCAAAAAAGAACTGGAAAACTCTGAGACTGAAAGCATTATGGCTTAGCACTGCTTTTTAAATACCTAAATCCCTTGGAACTGCAGGTTCAAATTTTGGAAAGGCCAACTCAACCATTCAGTCTTCCTAAGGTAAGTTGTGCTCCAGGCAGTTTAGCGTACATCTAGCTTTCAGGTGATGTGTTGAAATCAGTGGTATTTTCTTATCTGTGTGGCAATCAAAGATCCCATAGCACTTTCCCTAAAACTCCACTCCCCACGGTTGTGCATTTTGCACAGGCTGTCCATCATCCTTCCACCCAGAGGTAGCTGCTCTTCAGTGGTGCTTCGTGTATGTGTATTATGCTCACCCGCCTCATGTGAAGTGCTCTCGGAATCAAAATCCCAGACTTACTTAAATAGAAAGTACTGTTACAGAGATAGAGAAAAGCTGATTGTATGAATTATTTTAAAGAGATATATGGGAATTTGTCTTATACCATAAAGAATGAAAGTTAAAAACCATGTAACTTTTAGACGTAACAATCCTTTGAGCTGGATGCCCTGTTTAAGGCAGTGCCGCGGACCAAACAATCTGGCATTAAAAAAAGGTATATTCACTTCAAAGTAGTGGAGTAAACTCCCAGGTCTGGAAAGCTACAGCTTCAGATCCAACCTTTGAAGCTGATCCCTGTGACTATAATAGGCTGAATGGAAACCCCATATCTAAGCATTGCTAAATTTGGGGAAAGTTTGGACCCAGATTGATATTTTACAGCTCCGGCCCCTTTTTATGATGAGACTGCACAAATGTATTTTTTTCCTCTGTTGAACTTGTGAGTCATTTGGAAAACAAAACAAAATGTTTCATGACAATGGTCACAAAAATTTGATATGTTCCTTTTTTTTTAATAGAAAAATATCAAAACTCTGAATGTTTTGACCGTCCGTACTTGTGTTCAGTTTATTGTCCAGCAGATGTAATTAAACGTAACTCTGCAAAGCCTCTCCTCTTCGTAGTAGTTAGATACAATATTGCCCTAACACTGTGCTTTCCTGTGTGAATTCATTATGGGAGGGAGGGGGAGGAAATTGATTTATGATTCCGTTTCCCTACCTGTAAAATGGGGGAAATAATACGTTACTTAACTATTTTACAGGGGTGTTGTGATGATCGTTAATAAAATGCTTTAAAAAGGCAAAGTGCTTTAAAGATTTATTATATTATGGTTATTAACAGTTCAAAGCATTCACAGGCAGACAACAAGATGAAACTTAAAAATGTGCAAAACCTTTATTCAAAAATTTAAAATGATTATTGTTCCGTTCTGACAAGCTGCTCATGAACTTATTGTAATTGGCTAACCCACCAAAAGAGGATAATCTTTACAATATTTAGTACCACAAAAATGCCTATTTATTGTCTCTGTATTAGGGAAACATGCCTATAAAATAACTGTTGGGCAAGAGTTACATTTCCAGTTCAACAACTGTTTCCAACTAGGAAAAATTACATTGGCATGTGAACCAATGGGAATAAATATCTCGGTCAATTTTAAAAAGCTACTGAGCCAGCATAGTTATTGCTGTGATGTAACAGGAAAGATGACAGTTTTACAGTAGGTTTTTTATATAATTCAATGCTTTCATAATGAACAGACTGGGAAAAACAAAAACAGCCTTTTGCAATTATAAAGCATCTTCCATCTGAAGAGCTCTATAGGATTTACAACTGGGAAGCTTCACAAGGCCCCTAGGAGGAAGGTAAATACCACAAGTGTGCACCTTAGTAAGCCTGGAATATATAAATGTAGGAACTTGATGGCTCAAGAGGTTGGTGATAAGGACATTTCCACATGTAGGTTGCTGGTTTGAATGCTGGCCATATCAATGGTTCCCAACATTAGTCAAAATCTGTTAATTGGCTTCTGTGAAATGACTTAGTGGTCTCTGTCCAATGCTTAATGGCTATTTACAAAAAGAACAGGAGTACTTGTGGCACCTTAAAGACTAATACGTTTATTTGAGCATAAGCTTTCGGGGGCTACAGCCCACTTGATTGGAGGCACAGAATGGAACATATAGTAAGGAGATATATATACACATACAGAGAACACGAAAAGGTGGGAGTTGCCCTACCAACTGTAAGAAGCTAATTAATTAAGATGAGAAATTATCAGCAGGAGAAAAAAAAGTGTAGTGATAATCAAGATGGCCCATTTCAAACAGTTTGACAAGAAGGTGTGAGGATACTTAACATGGGGAAATAGGTGTAATGTGTGTATTTAGTCGCCACCACACATGGCACCAATTCATACCCTTTATTGGCAATTTTGGCAGAGCGGCAAAGGACTGAGCGTCTGATCCAGTTCTTGTTGAAGTCAATTGAAGGTTTCCCACTGGCTTTGGATCAGGACCTAGATGAGACACTAAACTGCTATCTTGAGTGACTAGACAGCAAGTGTGAAAAATCGGGACAGGGGTCGATTTTTACAACAGGGGGGTAGTAGGAGCCTATATAAGAAAAAGATCCCAAAATCGGGACATCTGGTCACCCGAGTGCTATCTCCCCCTAAGTGGTCCCATCAGAACAGGGCTGAGGCAGAATGATACGACAATGTGAGGAAGACTTTTTTAAAGCTTCCACGTGGGAGTGATTTGGTGTAGAGAGGCTACTTGAGTTGTCAATCTGGCAAACTTCATCCACTGCAAATTCACTCAGTTTCTTGTAAATATTTTTAAAATGAGTATAATTAAAAAAACCCACTGCACTCTTATCCGATGAGAAGCAAAAAGTGCTTCACAAACATGGTTAAATAAGCCACGCAAAACACCTGTGAGGTAAGCAATGGATCTATAGAGATTACTTCATTCACCACTGAAATGCAGCTACTTCTGGAGTGGCAAATAGCAACTGTTTAACGGCATATGGAACACTATATAACAGTTTAGGATGGGTGGCGAAGAAGGATACCATATCCAACTGAAATTGCAGGAAGGATTAGGTAGACACAATGATATTTGACCAGAGCACCAAGTTTAACATCCCTACTCTGAGGAAAATACTATGGGGTCTTAACTGATGACATATGGTCAGGACATTAAGTTTTATGTCTCATCCTAAAGTAAGTATGAAATTGTTTTGCACTAGAAAACACAGGAACACAATTCTGCTGGCGAAGACCCTACTCACTTAGAAAAACTCCCACTGACTTCACTGGGAGTTTTCATGAAGAAGAAACATTGAATATGGTGGGGACTTGATCCAACGTCCACTGAAATCAATGGGAATCTTTCAAGTGTCTTCAGTAGCTTTGGTTCAGATTTTTAGGCCCCAATACAGTAAGACACTTAAGCTTTATGCTTGGGATTAAGTGTTTTGCTGTATTGAGATGTTGTCATGACCCCTGGGTCGTGAACCCAGGCCTGCAGGATTCACTCCAACCCTCCACCTGGTGGCCTGCTGACAATGGCTTACCTGGAACTCACAAAGCCCAGTCCCAATGTGAGACTCCACCCTGAGGTCCAATTGGCAGAGCTTTGGAGAAGCTGATTGGCCCACTGGCCCTACTTAAGCCAGCAGCAGGAACCGGAAGTTGTCGGAACAACCTGGCTCCACTTTGCTCCTTCAGATTGATTTCCTGGCCTTAAATGCTTGGATCTTCAGACATATGGTTTTTTAAATAAATTCTTCAAAAGACCACCCTTATCTAAAATGCACATTTTAATTACTATAGTAAAAAAACTTACTTCCAAAGTCTTCCTGTCCTTTCTGTCCATCCATTTCTCCCTTCTCCCCCCACCCACTGAAGGAAGCAACAGCCCTTTGCTTCCAGATAGCTGGACAAAGAGTTTCCCTTTCTTTACTTCTGACTATCTGATGAACTAGTTTTAAGCAAAATCAGTACCTTAGTAAGATATAAAATCCTTTGTTATGCCTAAAATCTTTGGAAAGATATTTTTTAAAGTTGGTGAAATTTCATAAACACGTGTATTGTTATGGATATCACACACAGTAAATTAGTGTTCCCTTTTTCTAAAAGCAATGAACAC